GGGTGCTTGCTCGGTGACCGCACAAAGTTCCCGAAGACCACGGCTATTTTGTAGCCCAATGAACACACAATTAGGCCCTACACGCAATGAGCAGAAGGCCCAAATGGCCCAACTTCTACGGTACTATTACTACATCGAGCACAACAATACGCGCGCAACATCCCTAATCCCTATCGAGCATGGCACCGCCGCTGATATATCCAACTTCCTCCGTCCCATAATATAAGAGCGCTTTTGACACTATTATGTACATCATCTTTATATAGCCATGATATATCTTCATATTTTGCACATCTCATCTTATCAATCGAACAACTTAGTTGGTTTCCTTGTATTTTTGCCTATGGTTCAAGGGGTCTTTAGTTGCTTCCGTCTCCGTGCATGTGCCGCATTTGCTGCATTTTCATTTCCCATGGTATACATTTTTCATATTCGTTTTTGGGGTTTATGCATTCATTCATTTCGCTTTCACAAAAAAAATATAATAGCAACCGTTTCCATTCCATTTCATCCCTGGTAGCAGCCAAATACTAGTGCCGTGGGTCGAAGGACACGCATGATCACCCACCCATCACGATTCCTGTCCCTGCCAATCTTTTTCAACGTTCGATGTGTGTTCCATTCTACTCTACGGTCCCTTCTGAACCGAACCTGCAGCTTGCGCGCGCGTCTCGAGTCGCTGCAAAGGAGAAAAGGTTGACATCTCTTGTACTCCAGTAGTTAGTAGTACGTGTTGTGTTTACGTTATGTTCCCGTTCTGATGCCCCGTTTCTGTATCATCGTTGACATTCTAGTCCTGCACCTGGGAATGAATACCCTGACGGTGATACCTCTGGGAAATGTCGTTCAAGTACATATACAGAACCCATCATCTAATCTAAGAAATGGTGAGGCGCGAGGCGTACAGACGCTGTCATGTACGTACTCCGTACCAAAATATAAGACGTTTTTCAGTCTATAAATTAAACGGCAAAAAACGTCGGTACAGAGATAGTAGTAGCTAGATCAGAACTAGACACACCCAGATGGTATTTTCTGACGGTGATGATGGATTAATAATACATACATACATACCGAAACCTAAATGATCCGACTGTTCTTTACAGAATAATCACGCCTCGATTCGTTCACGCGTCTCCGTGTTGGCCATGGGAGCTGGAAGGGTGGCCGAACATGGGGTCGAACTGGAACGGCAGGTGCGCGTCCAGGTCGTGCTGGTGCAGATACATCGAGTAGTCGAAGCCGGCCGGGTCCGAGGCGGTCGCCGCCGACACGACCTCGGCGAGCTCCGGCGACTCGTGCGCCCCGCGCGTGCAGTGCGCGAAGTAGCCCGGTCCGGTCGACGTCGTTGCAGCCGGCGACGAGAAAGACGCCGGGACGAAGCAGCCCCCTCCCTGCAGCAGCTGCTGGCCGCCGCTCCCCGCCGGCGAGTAGCCCGCTGCTCCTGTGGCGGCGTAGGCGAACGAGAAGGCTGTGGTGCCGTCGCCATGGAAGGGCAGCGGCGGCAGCCCGTCGGTCTCCACCTTGAGTCCGTTCCTGAAATTCTCGAGCAGCTGCATCTCCGGGTCCTGCAACGCCGGTGGTGACCGTTGGACGTCGTGCGCGGCGGAAGGAGGAGGAGGAGGGGAAGGCGCGGCGGCGCGGCGCTGCGCCTGGAGGCAGGTGTGCGCGCCCTGGTACGTGACGTCGAACACGGCGAGGTCGGCGTCGGAGCGCTGCACCTGCCTCGTGGCGGCGCACCCCTGCGCGTTGCGGTACGTGCACCTGTAGTAGCCCCTGCATGCGCGGCATATCCCCACCACCGTCGTCAGTCAGTGTTACAAACTGAAGCTGGTCAATTTTGTACTACCTCGGTATCAAAATATAAGATGTTTTTGTAGTTTAAATTTATGTGCAAAAACGTCTTATATTTTGCTACGGATGAAGTATTTTTTTTTCTCATACTCTTTTGCCTATCTAACATTTCTTTATAAAACAAATATAAGATGTTTTAGGTCATTAAAGCTGTCTTATAGTTGTTTACAGAGGAAGCATAATTTTATGCGAGATTTATTCTATCTGATACTATGTTCATAAGTATTTTGACAAAGTCGCAATATTGAAATTTTAGGGCAGCTAAATATTTAGTGTAAAAAACACTCTTATATCATGGGACAGAAGGAGTACATGATTTTCATAAAATAAATGTCACAAACCTTGGGAATTTGGCGCCGAGGATGTCCTTCTGGCCGTACTTCCTCCAGCTGAATCCGTCGTCCGGCGTGTACTCCAAATTCGCGTCATCGGGTATACGGAACTTTTCGGTCCATCTTGGCAAGCCCTTCCTGTGTCATACCCAGGACCAGGCAACTTCTTTTAGACTAATTCAAATGCTAACGAATGCCCAATTGCTGGCTAGCTATATGTATGGTCATGGTAGATGCATTTCTCTTTGACCAAAACACCAAAACCCCACTTTGTGCCATTACTCTACGTCGCTTTCTAGTTTCCCCGTTCGAGCGGTTGGGTACCTTTCAGACAAAAAATCCTCATATTTGAGAACCGAATAGTTATTTAATTATCCACATATTTGAGAAATTTAAAAGAGGAATGAAAACTTCCATATATAGGAACAAGTGATGAACATTTGGAGTGTGTATTTACTTAGTTTCTTCTATGTTGGATTTATGTATGTTTCCTGGCGATGACATCTTGACGGGCCGGGAACAAAAAATGCCACTAACTTCCATTATATTAGATGTCCCCGTCTTTAATTCTTGCTGTACTCTTATTATTTGTCAATTTGGCCATGCCATAATGATGCGGGACAAAGGTTAACCAACTCTTGTATGCAGGTTTTATTCTCTTGTAGTACAACTTGTTAATGTCATTGTCTATGCTACAACTATATATCGTAGCATATGGCGTTGATGAACCATAGCGCGAAGAGATTGGAAGAGCTCAACGGCAGCAAGTTGATATCCATGTGTGGATGGCGAGCATACATGCAACTAGTTGCCCAGTGTCTTATTGAATCATGCTCCAGTCAATTCATACAAACGTCTGAGCTGATGGAGAAGGATGGTCAATATATTTCAATATGTCTAACATCGATCGTGTTACTTCTTTAGCTAGTGTGGCTTGCCGCATGCAATTTTTGACCATGTTACTTCGTTTGGTTGATGGTGCCATAGCGAAACAGTGTAATAATCTTATCGGATGTGAGAGTAATAAAGCTACTCCATTCGATCCATTTTTTGTAGTAAATCAGCGAGAATTAATATGGATCCGAGGGAGTATCATATTTGAGACCAAAACATGCAAATATTTTGAGAATGGATTTGAAGCATTGGCATGTGAAAAGAAAAAGAATTCAGAGACACGAATATGTGAGCGTTTTCACTACCCTACTGGCTACTATATATAGCTGGCTAGCTCGACATTTCTGTAGGTACGTAGAAAAAGTTTGCCGTCCTAAATTTGAAATCATAATCGTACGTACGCACCTTCTCTTGCAGACGCCTTGACCTTGGCGCTCCTGCGCCTGCGCCGCGTCCCTGCCGGCGCCGGCGCCCTCGTCGGCTGACCGCGGCGAGTCCCCGCCGGCCGCCTCGATGGCCTTAGCGACGGCGATGGCCTTCCTGAACGTGCACAGCAGCTGCTCCGCCACGCCCCGGCAGCACTGGGCCGCCGGTCCCCGCCCGAGCAGCTGCCCCTCGTCGTCGGCCGGCGGCAGCTCGCGGAGGAGCCGCCTCGCCTGCTCCTCGCCGTCGGCCAGGATGCTCAGGAGCAGATGCATGCTATTGCCGTCCCCTCCTCCACTTCCTCCAGCGTCCTGCTGCATATGGCTAGCTAGCTTGCCGGCAACGGCAATGGCAGGCTGGCGGGAAGTACGAGGAGTGCAAGACGCAAGGAAGGAGCAGGGCGAGTTCAAAGAAACCGAGGAGAAAAGTAGAGGAGAGGAGACGAGATCTGACGGTAGATCGACGATGATGTGGTGGCCACGGGCCACCGGATTGCATATATATGCTGAGCTCTGAATTGCTGATGCACTTCCGGTCCTAAAGTTTGACCCAGGGAAAGGGAAACCGAGTTTTTTTGGGGTTGACCGGTCTCTGGTCCTCATACTTATCATCGTACTGCTTAGAAGGCTGGGTCGAAATTGCTAGGTCCACCCGGGACAACCAATAGGGAAAATAATTTCTCGGCCGTAAAGCTTATTGGCATAGCATCATCTTAGATAGTGGAGTGTAAAATTCCAGGATTGTCTCTTGTACTTAGTGTGGACATTCTGCTGATTAGTTGGTAAGGCGGATATATTCGCTACTTTAAACCCAAATTTGTCGTTGTGTTTTTTTTTTGTTTTGTTTTTTTGAACTACGAATTTGCTTAGAAATAGCTGGGAAACCGCCGTCGTAAGGGGTGCAGGAAACCCATGAAAATGACAGTATTCCCCCTGAGCCGGCCAGGGGAGACTTCCTTCAAAGTAGCATGCCGATAGTTAAAAAACAAAACGGAGTGTGATGCCTAGTTCGGGGAAATAGCAGGATGCCAAGGCCATGGTACACTGCACAAAAATTCAAATTTATAAGACTTAAACAATTCCAAAGAAAATGGTCAATGCTCACAAGATATGTATCCCTAAAAAGTTGAAATCCAAAATTGAAACTCTTGAAAAATATCAGGTGATACCATGAATTAGGTGATCCCGCTGCACAAAACTCAAATTTAAAGGAGGGGTGACTTATTCGCGTGAAACGTACCCAGCCGTCAGGGCACTCATACCTAGCCGCCGCTAGGGTTTCTTCTGCCTCCGGCCGGTGCTGATGCTAGTCTGCCTCGTCTCCTATGGCCTTAGGGTCATGAAGATGTGGTGGATCCCGACCCTTGCCGTGGGATGGCTTTGTTTTTTGATGCTTTTCTGAGTTTTTTTAGGGTTTGTGTCCTGCTCAGACAGGCAAGCCGTCGACAACTCTCTTAAGATGGAATAAGGTACTTGAGGGAGTTCCGGACTAGGGGGTGTCCGACAGCCGAACTATCATGATTGGCCGGACTCCAAGACTATGAAGATACAAGATTGAAGATTTCGTCCCGTGTCTGGATGGGACTTTCCTTGGTGTGGAAGGCAAGCTTGGCGATACGGATATGTAGATCTCTTACCATTGTAACCGACTTTGTGTAACCCTAGCCCTCTCCGGTGTCTATATAAACCGGATGGCTTTAGTCCATAGGACGAACAACAATCATACCATAGGCTAGCTTCTAGGGTTTAGCCTCCTTGATCTCGTGGTAGATCCACTCTTGTAACACACATCATCAATATTAATCAAGCAGGACGTAGGGTTTTACCTCCATCAAGAGGGCCCGAACCTGGGTAAAACATCGTGTCCCTTGTCTCCTGTTACCATCCGCCTAGACACACAGTTCGGGACCCCCTACCCGAGATCCGCCGGTTTTGACACCGACATTGGTGCTTTCATTGAGAGTTCCTCTGTGCCGTCGCCATCAGGAAGGATGCCTTTTCCCGTCTTTAAAGACGGCGCCGTCGTCAAGGGAGCTTTGGCCGCCGGCCAGACTATCCGGCTAGGCGGTTTTATTATGACCGCCTGTTCAGCCACCGCTCCGACAATGACCTCTCAGGTCATTAAAAGCGATCTTCACGTCAGCTCGGAATTCGCCGAGCAGCTAGATCCGATTGAGCTCTCCTCCGTAAACGAGCTCTTGGATCGCATCGCCACCCTGGGAGTCGCTACCGACTACGATCAGATTGGGCTTAAAACCGATCTGAGAGAAATTAACTCTCCCAAGGTTACCCACCACGTTGTTGCGGTAGAGGAACAATGCGGCGACTCTTCTTCTACGTTAAAAACCAACTATGTCCGGATTCCCGATCCCTCCATGCCAGATTCCCGCGGAGGGACAGACGCTAATCAAATACTGAATCTAAAGTCAGGCATCGGACCAGATTTGTTGGAAAGCATCCAACGAACCGAGCTTCCAAATCCGGAAGCTTCTTGGCCTTTGAGCCTCAGATCGGGCGGGGTTTCGAACTTAATTCCACCCGCCCACCCAAACATAAGCGATCTATCTAAAATACAGCAAGGGCCCGATGAAACAGTACATCATTACTGGGCCAGATTCCTCCTGGTTATGAACAGGATAAAGGACTGCCGTGAAGAAAGTGCGATTTCAATTTTCTGCAACAATTGCACGGACAAGGGAATCATAAACGCCATCAGTCGTCGCGAAGTTACACGCTTCGCCGACCTAGCGACCATTGTACAAAAATACTGCGCAATGGAGAGTGCCTGGAAAACCGAAACTAGGTTTTGGGACAATCCGGCCCTGAATACAACCCCAGTCCGAAATAAAAGGGTGCGTCATACTCAAGCACCTGGGTTAAAAACCAAGAAGCAAAAACCCCCTAAAGAGTACGGAACCGTACTGGAGGGATGGCTCAACGGACCTTGCAAAATCCACAGTACGGAGGGCGCCACTCCAACACATAGCCTTCGAGCATGTTGGATACTACGGCAGGTGGCCAAAAGTGGCGAAGGCTTTTTAGCCCCGAGCAATCAGCCCAGCAGTACCAGTACGGTATTATTAGTCTTCGAGACTTTCGCATCAAATAACATGCGGAAACAAATAATCCGCAGCCTCGCCGAAGTCTACCAAGTAGCAACAACAAATCCATGGAGCGACACGGCTATCACCTTCAATGCCAGCGACGAACCTAAATTCCAAACAACTAGAGCACCAGCCGCATTGGTCCTCAGTCCGATAGTGGACGGCTTTCGTCTTACCAAGGTACTCATGGATGGCGGCAGCGGATTAAACCTCATCTACGAAGAAACCCTTCAAAAAATGGAAATTTACTGGAGCCGCATTGAGCGAAGCAGCACAACCTTCAGGGGAATAATCCCTAGTCGAGAAGTACGCTGCACAGGAAAAATCACACTAGACGTAGTGTTCGGCTCGCCGGACAATTACAGGTCCGAAGAGGTCACGTTCCAAGTGGCCCCATTCGGCAGCGGATATCACGCCTTGTTAGGGCGAGAGGCATTCACAATCTTCCAAGCTATACCCCATTACGGGTACATGAAGCTCAAAATGCCCGGACCCAATGGAATAATCACTCTCGCCAGTGATCCAGATACAACACTCCGCACTGAAAATAAGACAGCCGCACTAGCCCTAGAGGCATTATCTGAAGCCCTAGCGGCAGAGGAACTAACTGTGCTGCGCTCCACGGTGGATAGGGACGATGTGATACTCGATAAGAAGCCCAAGTCCACCTCTTTTAAACCAGCAGACGAAATAGTCAAATTTCAGGTCCATCCAACGGACCCCACAAAGACGGCCTCCATTGGGGCACAATTAAATCCTGATAGAAGCCGCACTACGAGAATTCCTTCGGGAAAATTGGGACATTTTTGCCTGGCACCCTTCAGACATGCCAGGAATCTCACGCAGGCTGGCAGAGCACAACCTAAATATCCTAAAAGGATTCAAGCCAGTCAAACAAGCTCTTCAGCGATTTTCCGAACCCAAAAGACAGGCAATGGGAGAGGAGCTAGCCAAACTCTTAGAAGCCGGATTCATCAGAGATATAAAACATCTGGGCTGGCTAGCCAACCTAGTAATGGTACCAAAAAAGGACAAATCCTGGCGTCTCTGCGTCGATTTCAAAGACCTTAACAAGGCCTGTCCAAAGGACCCTTTCCCTCTTCCTCGCATCGACCAAATCATCGATGCTACCACAGGGCACGATTCATTGTGCTTCCTCGATGCATACTCCAGATACCATCGAATCAAGATGGCGGAAAAAGACCAGGCCGCAACGGCATTCATCACTCCATATGGGCCATTCTGCTTCAACACAATGCCCTTCGGACTCAAAAACGCCGGCGCAACATATCAGCGCATGATTCAGACATGTCTGGCTACCCAGATAGGCAAAACTGTAGAGGCATACGTAGACGATGTGGTCGTCAAGACCAAACACGTCGAAACTCTAGTAGACGACTTGAGGGTGACATTCGACAACCTCCGAGCATATGACATTAAGCTCAACCCGAAAAAATGTGTCTTCGGAGTACCAGCCGGAAAGCTTTTGGGCTTCATTGTATCCGGTAGAGGAATTGAAGCAAACCCAGCCAAGATCCGAGCTCTGTCACAATTGGATATCCCAAAAGACCTCAAGCAAATATAAAAACTAACTGGATGCGTAGCGGCTCTAAGCCGCTTCATCTCCCATTTGGGAGAAAAGGCTCTACCCCTCTATCGCCTCCTCCGGCGCACCGAACACTTCGAATGGACGGATGCTGCCACGGCCGGACTCGAAGAAATCAAGGCCATACCGGCAACAAATCCGGTCTTGGCCGCGCCCAACCTGGGCGAACCTATGTTATTATATATCGCAACAACACATCAAGTTGTCAGCGCAGTACTCGTCGTCGAACGAGAAACAGAAGGGCACAGATTCTCTCTTCAAAAACCAGTGCACTACGTATCCACTGTCTTAACTCCATGCAAGTCCCGGTACTCACATTATCAAAAGATAGCGTATGCGGTGTTCATGGCATCCCGGAAGCTGCGACACTACTTTCAAGAGTGTTCCATAACGGTGGCCTCCAAAGTACCTCTCAACGATATTATAAACAACCGCGACGCAACGGGCAGGATTGCAAAATGGGCCATTGAGCTCTTACCATTTGACATAACATACAAACCACGGCGAGCTATAAAGTCACAAGTTCTGGCTGACTTCGTCGCCGAATGGACCGAAGCCGAACTCCCTAAAGAGTACGGCGCGTACTCCAATTGGATCATGCATTTCGACGG